CCTCTGGTGGTCAGTGCACATCATGGCAACTGGTCAAAAAGGTCACTTAGGCGTGTGTGTGTGTGTGTGTGTGTGTGTGTGTGTGTGTATTTATAGAGAAAAACACAGTATATACAGAGTTCAGAACTATCTGTGGTTTCAAACCTCCACTAGAATCTTGGAATATATCCCCTGTGGATAATGGGGGACTACTATAGATGCAAAAAAATTTAAATAAAATGTAAGAACTGGAAAACAAGTAAGAGACAAAGCTGTCCTTATTTTCAAACAATAGAATTTCTACAAAGAATATCTTAGAGGATCTAAACACAATTAGAACTAATAAAAGAGTTCTCAGGGATGCTCATTATAAGATTAATACACAAAAGTCAATCAATGGCATTCTTATATACCAGCGATAACCAATTTAAAATGTAACAGAGAAAACATCTTATTCACAACTGCAACAAAAACAAGGAACCCAGAAATTAATGAACATAAAAATAAACAAAAAGATATGAAAACTCAGTATACAAAAATGGCCCCCAGATTCATTTAAAATAAAAAACAAGTTCAATCCCAAGAGTGTTTTTTTTATGAATAAATGAAAGGATTTTTTTAAAAAACACAAAAAGCAAAGAAAACACAAGTTAAAAGACAAGCTACAGAGCAGGATAAGATATCTGCAATAAAAATAAATGGCGAAGATTAATGTCAAGAATATTTAAACTATAACAAAAAAAGGCAAATACCCAACAGAGCTATGGACAAAGGTTATGAATAGGCAAATCACAGAAGAGAAACCTAGTAAACATACAAAAATACTCTCAACCTTATCAAACTCATCCTGTACTGAGTGTAAAATTAAAATACTTGAGTTGAAGATGTCTTATAAAGCAACAATTTCACACTTTGATGTATATCCCATGGAAATTCTTATTCGTGTACAAGGAAGACAGGAATTACAAAAATATTCATTGCAAAATGGATAACAAAAAATAAACTGGAAACTATATGACCAGAATATAGTTTCAGAATAATGAGTGAATAAATTGTAGTATATTTCTACATTAGACTATTAGAGTTAAAATGAACACATATCAACATTTATATTCTTAAAAACATAAAGTTGAGTAAAAAAACAACCAACTGATTTACCTCATTTATATGAATTTTTAAAACTTGCAAAACAGCAAGTTTTATAGAAACATATTCAGCCACAATATAAAAGTATTAGGAAGAGCTCTAGCTGTTTTTCTCAGTGGTTAGAGCATCAGCCCAAGCACTGAAGGGTCCTGGGTTTGATTTTGATCAAGGACATGTACCTTGGTTGCAGGCTCTATCCTTGGTCCCATTCAGGGCACATGCAGGAGGCAACCAATCTCTCACATCTATATTTCTATCTCTCCCCCTCTCTCCCACACTCTCTAATACTCAATGGAAAAAAAAATCTTCAAGTGAGGATTAATATATATATGAAAAAGTGATAAATACCACATTTATGAGAAGGGTTACCTCTGGGAAGGGAGAAGGAAGAGGAATGGGAATATGAAAGGGAATGAAAAGATTCATCAACTTTGTCTTTAATAATAGATAGCCAGCCAGCCAGATAGATAGATAAAATATTAAATTTCAACATTATGAGTAGATGGATGTTTGTTATTTTCTATACCTTTATATATTTAAAATATTAACATATACCTTCCTTAAAAGGATTAAAGAAAAATGAACTGCAAATAGTACTATTTACACAACAAAATAAAAGGGAATTGGCATTTTTATTCACCAAATATTTATGAGCTTTGACTATGTACTAATCACACATTCCTTATTCCCAGTACCACGGTTACCATTTTTGTTGTTGTTGTTGTTGTTAATCCTCACCCAAGGATATCTTTCCACTGACTTTTAGAAAGTGTGCAAAGGAGGAGGAGAGATAGAAACATCGATGTGAGACACATTGACTGGTTGCTTCCTGCACGTGTATTTATGTATTAACATAAATACATATAAAAAACAGATGTATAGCATATTTACATACTATCCTATATAATAAAAGCCTAATATGCTAAGTGCCCGATCATCCATTCAACCAATCAAAGCATAATATACTATTTATATGCTAAGGCTGCTCAACCGCTTGCTATGACATGCACTGACCACAGAGGCAGACAGTCATTGGGACATCCCCTGAGGGCTCCCAGACTGGGAGAGGGTGCAGGTTGAGCTGAGGTGACCTCCCCCACCCAATGCACGAATTTCGTGCAACAGGCCTCTAGTCTAGTATAAAACAAAAGTTTTTCATAGCTACATTCACATTGGTAATTGTATAGACTTTCATGGGAATGACACTCCAAATTCAGGATGATGGTTAAGTCTGGGCAGGGAATAAGAGAAATAGGATTGGGGAAAGTTACGCAGGAAGTTTCAGTCAAATCTGTAATATGATTTCTCTGAAAAGTCTAAAGCAAATATGGTTTGCTAAAACTTAGTACTGGATGGTTTAAAAAAACCTATTATTTACATATATGTATGTATAGCAAGAGCAGCAACAAAAAATGAATAAAATGAATAATAAAGCTAACATTTGAACACTTATATAGTAGGTACTTTTCTAAGTGTATGCATGTTAAAAACAAACCTAGGAGAGATATTCTATTACTATTTATATCTAATACTATTACTATTCGATTCTATTATTCATTTTATAGATGGGGAACTGAAGCAGAGAGGAGTGAAGCTGGTCTAAGCTAAATAAAGCTAATAAATAATGGAAGTAACCAAGAAGTCAGGATTCCTACTCCAGAGTTTACAGCTTAATAACTATGCTATTGTTATTATATAATTCTCTATTCTTTTCAGTATGTTGGAAATCCAACATTTCTATAAGTTAGAAAAAATAATTTTAACCTATAACTACAAAGGAATGTACTTATATGTGCACACATACACACACATATATCTCTGTAGCTTAAACTGTTTAAAGATGCTAAAAGAATTCTAGAAATGTCTTAAAAATAGCAGCATCCCAACTACTTTAATTTACATATTTGAGGTTTGGGTTTTAAAAAAATATATTTTTTTTACTGATTTCAGAGAAGGGCGAGCAAGAGAGAGAAACATCAATGATGAGAGAAAGTCATTGATTAGCTGCCTCCTGCACAATCCCCACGGGGGATCGAGCCTGCAACCTTAGCATGTGCCCTTGATCAGAATCGAACCTGGGACCTTTCATTCTACAGGCCAGCACTCTACCCACTAAGCCATACCAGCCAGGACAAGGTTTGGTATTTTTTAGATCATTTTTTCATAAACTTTGTTTTTTTAATAACCCTAAGATAATACATATTTGGAATCTTAGATAACTTATATGGGGAAGCATATGATGTAATTTGATCACCTTTTTCTCTGTGATTATTTTTAGGACTGAAAATTCATATTAAGAGTTGTTAATAAGTAATACTGTTAAGAATTATAAGAAATATAATACAATTTCAATGACTCATTCTTCTGGTCTCTTTATTTTGAGTTTATTTTTTAAAAGCTAGTAGTTAATATTTATACAATAAAAATGTAATTTTGTATAGGACTATTTACACAACAAAATAAAAGGGAATTGGCACTTTTATTCACCAAATATTTATGAGCTTTGACTATGTACTAATCACACATTCCTTATTCCCAGTACAACGGTTACCATTTTTGTTGTTGTTGTTGTTGTTGTTGTTGTTGTTAATCCTCACCCAAGGATATTTTTCCATTAACTTTTAGAAAGTGTGCAAGGGAGGAGGAGAGATAGAAACATCGATGTGAGAGAGACACATCGACTGGTTGCCTCCTGCACGTGTCCTGAGACCAAGGATCAAGCCTAAAACCAAGGAACATACCCTTGACCAGACTCAAACCAGGACCCTTCAGTAAAAGGGACAACATGCTATCCACTGAGCCAAACTGGCTAGGAATGTTACTATTTCTTATGTTTCTTCTCAATCTATACACCCATGTTTTCAATGGTATTATCTACTAACCTACAGAATATACATTAAAATATGATAACACAAAAAATATGAAAGAAAAAGAACTTCTTGCTTTTAAAGAGTTCACCATCTAGCAGGAGAAATAGACAAGTAAAATACATAAGTACTTTAATAAAGACATTTAAAAGGTATTAGAGAAATATAAGGGTTGGGATAGATAGAAAGGTGGCTGGTGCACTTCTGAGAATAGGAAACCTGGAGCATGATGAACAGGAGATAATTCTTAAAAAAACAAAAAAACAAAAAACTTGTCTTAACAGGAAGAAGAGAGGGTAATAGCTAGTGGCATAGTTCCACAGAAGGTTTTAAGATGAGAGAAATACTTAGCATCAACTCCTCTGAATTACTTTCCTTGTTCCACTTCTCTCCTAGGACCTAAATCCCAGATGAGTGTGAGCAATTTACTATCCTTTTCTAAGTCACAAAGGAGACAGATGCTTAAGAATTTTATAGAGGGAACCTGAAAATGATCTCTAAGATTCTATTAGTCTATTATTATGATTATCTAATCTCTTTAAACTAAGTCACAAAATATTCAGGATGCAAGAGATAAAACAGACCAATTAAGAAATGAACTGGTTTGTACAACTGCATTCTAAAAAACAATTAATTCCTATTTTGAACATCAATAAAATTTCTATAAAAAGACAGTACCTTTTTACCAGAGTTGGTAAAGTGCTTCTTCCCTTCAAACCTGAAGTTTTAAAGAATCAACAAGCAACTATTTTGTAATAACAGATGTAAATTGCTTAAAAGCCCATACTTTAAAGTGGTTAAAGTCATATTTTAAAAGGAAGATGTTTATAAAAACATATGTATGCCATTCTTATTACAATATATTTGTTCATTATCTTTCGCTTTAAAATTTTAATATACAAGTTGAAGGTTCATGAAGTTTTTTAAAGCCCCAGCTAAGATTAGCTCTTCAGAGTAATATGCCTTCTTTTCACTATTACACAAAATTTAGAACAAGGTTTCCCTTACCTGATATGGACATGGAATGTGATATTCTCTGCAGCGTTCTTGTATCCATGTTGTTTCCCAGATGCCACGGTAAGCTTGCTCATAAAAATAGCATCCAATTACAACCAAGAGTGGTACCAGATAAAGAATGCTGAAAACACCAATCCGGATCATAAACTTCACCAATTTATCTTGGTTCTCCTTTTCTAATGGAATCTCAATTCGAACTCTGTTTAGGGATATAATGCCAGCTAAAAGGAGTGAAACCCCAACTACCACATATAGGCAGAGGGGTGCAAGAACAAAGTATCTCAATGCATCAACATCGTAGAGGCCAACAAAACACACGCCACTGATATTGTCACCTTCAATTTTATTCATCGCTAAAAGGATGATAGTTAGAGTTCCAGGGATGCCCCATGCACTGGCGTGAAACAGCAATGCTTTCTTCTCAATAGCTTCACTACCCCACTTTGGCACAGCTGCCAAGAACCATGTGATGGTAAGAATTACCCACCAAACGCTGCCAGCCATAGTAAAAAAATAAAGTACCATAAAAAGCATGGTACAAGCTTTATTATGAGATCCTTGTGTCACTGTGGAAGCTTTATACTGTGCAGGGCTAGATGCATTGCAGGCTACTCGGTCCTCAAGCAAAAACCCAATGAAAAAAATTAATGATACCATCATGTAGCAGACTGCATAAAAAATAATAGGTCTTTCAGGATAACGAAATCTTGTGACATCAATCAAAAAAGTTAAAAAAGTAAACAACGTGGCAGAGAGGCAAATGATTGAGATCAATCCTATGAAATATCGAGCAAATGAAAGTTCTTCTCTCCTAAAGTACATATTTGGACATGGAGGTGAACAATCACGCACGTGCAAAAAAGAATAACCAAGATCAGGATCAATTTTCAACTCCCGAGGACACCAAAAACCATAGTCCCTCTGCACTGCCACTGGGGCTCCTTCAGTAGGATCTCCAGCTAAATTCAGATCCACAAGTCGAGGGTATGGCTCATCACAATCTGGGAACCTATAAAATATGAGATGAGAACCATTTTACTTACTGGGAAATCACTGCCACTTAACAATTTGAATTTCCAAAATTAGCACCCGTGACCTTATTATTTTTCCTTATGTACTTAAGAGTACATTACAATAAGTAGAAATAAAGCAAATAGTAATATATTGTTTGGTTTACAGAACTAGATTTTCCATAGTTGACCAAAAATGATGTTTCACAATTTTGTCTTGGCTTTAAAAGCAGTACTCTTGCTGGTTTCATGGGTTCGATTCCCAGCCAAGAGCATATACCGAAGTTGCAAGTTCCTTAGCCCTGGTAGGGGCTTGACCAGGAGGCAGCCAATTGATGTATCTCTCGTGTCGATATGTGTCTCTCTCTCGCTCTCTCCCCACCATTTCCCTCCCAGTCTCTCTAGAATTCTTGGGTGAGGATTAAAACAATAATGAAAACAGTACTCTTTCTTAAAATGGTCAAGCACAGCCATCCAAAAAAGGTACATGCCCAGTCAGTATGGCTCAGTGGTTGATCAGGGCACATGATTGAGTTGCAGGCTTGATCCCCAGTGTGGGGCGTACAGTGGGCAACTGATTGATGACACTCTCTCATCACTGATGTTTCTCTCTCTCTCTCCTCCCTTCCTCTCTGAAATCAATAATATATATATATATAAAGATATATATATATATATATATATATATATATATATATAGATGTATATATAAACTATTTATTTAGAACACAATTTAGAGCATTTCAAAATATAAACATATATATAAAAAAGTAAAATAAATAAATATAAGTATACAGTTCCAACAAAATAGAAGCTAGAAGTTAGTCTGGTCTAACTACAGTATAGTCTTCAATTTACCCTATATTCACATAGAACTTACTTAAACATAAGAGCTAAAACTATTCCCTAAGTGCATGTTCCAAGGTATTTTGAGTTAAATTAACATTAAAAATCCTTATAAGTGGCTTATATACTAGTTTATATGCATCAAATAGTTTCCAAGGAACTATCACTTATATTGTTTGCCAAATGCATAGCCTTATGCTCTAGTAGATTAATCTTTTTTTTAAATTTATTTTCTTCACAGGGGTTGGAATTAGAAAGCTAAAGATTTTACAATTATTCTCTGCTTATCAGATTGGTTAATTAAAGGCCTTCTAAGGTCTCTAATGTCAACTATTTCCTTCCTACCATCTCTAATTTCTCTCCAACCCATTGCATTCTCTAATCCAGTTATTCTCAAACTTTCAAGTGCATGAGAAAATTTAAGATCCTTTTAAAATGTAAATTCTCGGTCCCTACCACCACAAATCATATTACAATATACTCTTGTTAGGGCCTAAGAAATCTGCATTTTAACAATTTTTCAGATCCACAAACTTGAGTGTCATAGCCTCAGAACAGAGAAAATAAGGCAGACATACTTACATGACTAACAGTGCCATTCTCATAAACTTCCTGCATCTTCAATTTTCTTGCCAGTAGCAGTTGCCAAGTCCTCAGACTCTCACTAACAATGTTTACTAGTTTATATGCATCAAATAGTTTCCAAAGAACTATCATTTATATTGTTTGCCAAATGCATGCATAACCTTATACTGTAGTGAATTAATCTTTTATTTTTTAATACAAACCATTTTCTTCACAGGGTTTGAAATTATAAAGACAGAAACTTACTGCATTCAGGCATTTATTGGAATCCTGAAGTATGCCAGGGGTCTAACATAAACAGACAAAAGAACAGGATCTCTATCCTTCAGTCTAAAAGGAGATACATACTGGTAAAGACAGCACAAAAGACAACAGTGTGATGCATGAAGCAATCAAAATCTATATAAAGTATAAAATGATATAGAGAAGGATTAATTAGGAGAAGAGTTTATAAAAGACTTCACAGGGTAAGTCTCTGAACATAAAACTTTGAATCAGTATTTGCCAGTATTGGAAGTATGCCAAACAGTGTCCTAGCTTCTGTTCAAACAAAAGCATACAGTTGTGAACAGGGTGAGTTTAGTACTACTGGAGCATGAGGTATGCATGACTTGTGTCAGGGATGAGATTGGAGAGGTAAGCATGTTGTAGAAATGTGTATGTATATACAAAACTGATAAAATTTAAAACCATGCAAAGTAATAGTATGTATTTTTATGGATATATTTGTATATATCTAACTGCCAATTCAACACATAGACACCCTTCACTCAAAACCAAACTCTTGATTTTTTCTCTTTAGATTTCTCTATTTCCATGAATGATAATTTCATCCTAGCTGCCTAGGCCAAAGACTTTGGGGTCATCTTCTCTCTCATTTACACTTCAGAATCTACCAGCAAATCCTGTCATTCTACTTTGTGATATTTCAGAATCTGACCACTTCTCTTTTTCTCCGCTGCTGCCCCCCAGTTTGACATCAGTGCCTCATCCCTGGACTTCCAATTGATCTCCACTTCCACACAGCAGCCACTCCTGTGCTCATGATGTTTCTTCTGTTCAAAATCTTCTAATGGCTTCCCTTCTCAGAGACAAATTCAAATTTATATTAGAGCTACAAAACTACCTCCCCAATACTTTTCTGGTCTTATTTAATCTTTCCATTCTTCTTCCCTCACTTAGCTCCAGCCTCTTTGATCTCTTTGTTCTCTGAATATGCCAAACATTCTTTCACTTCAGAACCTTTGAACTTGATCCTCTATTTCTTCTGCTTGGAGTATTCTTTCCTAGATATCTGTATTTGTTCTCCTCCTTTACTTAGATCCCTCTTCCAATACCTCCTTATCAAAAAGGCCTTCCCCAATGCCTCCACAGACAATAGAGCTTCTACTTCCCTGTGTTGTATCACTATCACCTAACTCCACTCTTTTCTTTAAATTTATCTTTATTGTTGAAAGTATTATAGACGTCCCATTTTTCCCCCTCATTGACCCCCATCAACCTGTGTCCCCCCCCCCTAACCCCAGGCCTTCACCACTACTGTCTATATCCATGGGTTATGCATATATGCATATAAGTTCTTTGATTAATCTGTTTTTACCCACTCAACCACCCTGCCTTCCCTCTGAGATACATCAGTCTGTTCCATACTTCTATGTCTCTGATCTCCACTCTTTCTTAATAGCATTTGTTGACATTATCTATTTATCTCTCACCACTAGAATATTAGCTCCATAAGAACAGAGATGTTTTGTTTACTGTTCATCTTCAACATAGGATAGGGCCCACACACAGAGCACATCGTTTACTACTTGTTAAATTAATCATTGTTGAATAAATATATTCATAATAGAGGCCTGATGCACGGAATTCGTGCATGGGGGAGGAGGGTGTCCCTGAGCCCAGCCTGCACCCTCTCCAATATGGGACCCCTCGAGGGATGTTTCTAACTCTCGATCCCTCTCCCTTCCTCACTGTAAAAAATCAATAAAATATATATATTTAAAAATAATAGCACAGGTAATTTATAAGACATTGGTTGAGTCAATCAGTTTGGGGATCTGAGCAAATATAGTGGAAAAAATAAATTAAGAATGCTAACAAACGTGTTATTTCAAGTGATGGACAACAAAGCTTAAACTAAGTAAGGAAATAATTACGATCAGGAAGGGGTCTATTGGGAGAGTAAAAAAACCTCACAAAAGTTTAGGGGTGTCCATGAAGCAAAGATGTATGCAGTAGAAACAAAAATATGAGAGATTTGGATGAATGAAGAGTTGTTATAAAAGATCAGCTTGCCAGGATTTAAGCTTTCAGAGTTAGGCAATCCAGGCAATAGTGAGGACATAAAATAGATTTAATTTTATCAAAATAAAGAAATAAAGATCATGATGAGATTTCTATACTTGTATATAAACTTTTAACATAAAGTGACCACTAAACAATGAGAGTTAGATACAAAAAACAAAATAGGATTCTGGTCCAGGCAAAAAATTTACAAATTTCTAAAGAGGGACTATGAATATAATCAGGTATTTGAGGAGAGAGTGGATAAGAAAGCAAAATGTCAATGAATTGACTACAAGCAATTAATGTTTTATTTCTTAAATTTTCCATCTCTCAAGTGAGAATAAACCACCTGCTTTTTACCATCTCCAAGGACTACTGTCAGATGATAAACAAATTTAATTTTAAACATGAAGGTGACAATGTTCACTGTAACATTGCTCATAATAGTAAAATCCTGGAAATAACCCAAATGACCATCCTTAGGAGATGACTAAATAACAATAGGATATTAATACAACTGGCCATTATATAGCAATTAAAGGGAATGAACCAGACCTAAAGATATAAACATAGGTACATGTAAAAAAAATTTAATGTTGCTTATGGATATATACAATATATATGTAATAAGAATATAAAAACACACACAGGAATAATTAACAACAAATTTAACATGATTACTTCATCTCTGGGGAGGAAAGAAGGTAATAAAATCAAGGCAGGTACCAAGGAAGGAATTTTCAACTTCATTTAAATTGTTATTTTGTGTTTTTTTCTTAAAAAGAAAAAAAATCAATCCAGCCAGTTTGGCTCGGTGGTTAACCTATAAACCAGGAAGTCATGGCTCTATTCCCAGTCAGGACACATGCCCGGGCTGTGGGCTCCATCCCTCGTGTGGGGCATGTAGGAGGCAGCAATCAATGATTTTCTCTCATCACTGATGTTTCTATCTCTCCCTCTCCCTTCCTTTCTGAAATAAAAAAACAAGTATATATTTTAAAATTAAGAATAATATATATGTACTTTAAAAAGTTTTTAAAAACTGATGAACAAGCCAAGTAATTTTTAAATATATTGCAACATAAGTTATGATCCATAAAAATATGATTTTCGCACCTACTGCATTCCATATCTTCAGGCCAAGGAACACCAAACATCTCCATAAGCTTTGAACATTCGCTGTAAGCCCGCTGACACAGTCTACGACAGGGAAGTGTGACACGTCCATATTCCATACAAATAGGAGCATAGAGTGCACAAAGAAATGGCCGGAAATCCCGAGAACAATCCAGGTTCACCATAGGATGGAATGGCTAGGAAAAAGTTAAAATTGAACCATTAGAGAAAGATTTATTTATAAATTAAAGTTTTCTATATACAATATTGCAATATTCAATTTTTTGTTTAAAAATTCTGAAAGTTATTAAATTTTTTGAAGGAGGATTTTTTGTTTTTTTGAACAAATCATCTTAGCCCTACCCCTAGAGATTATGATTTGGTTAAGTCTAAGATATATCTCAGAATCTATATGTATATTTTAATTGTTATTGGTGATATTAATGTAGAGACAATCCTGAGAACCAATAATAACAATATGCTCCATTTTATAAAGAAAACAAAAAACACAAAAGAGATATGTTAAATGCTCAAAAGAGTGATTATTACTTGGTGATAAGATTACAAGAAATTTTAATGTTCTTCCTTTTATGTATTTCAATTTTTATATTTTCTTCAATTAACATGTATCAACAGGAGAGGGGACAAGAAGTGAAATGGAAAGAGAGGAGAGGAAGAGAAGTAAACTAGTTATTTTGAGGGAGAGAAATAGGGAAGAGATCTCTCACTTTTTCTCATACTTTCTTGTTCTTTTTACATTAAAAATTAAAGATAAAACAAAAGAGAGTTCTTTAAACTCTGAAATCACTTGATGTAAACATAGCTAACTATAAGCTGATATTAAGAAAGCAACAAGGAATAAATAGTGGCTCCAAACATAAAACCATATTAAATCATCATTATAACCACAAGAATAGATCAAATATCCCAAGAAGTGTACATCTGGGCTTTTTTTTCTTAATATATATATATTTTTTTTTATTAATTTCAGAGAGTCAGGGAAAGGGAGAGAGAAAAAAAAACATCAATGATGAGAGAATCACTGATCAGCTGTCTCCTACATGCCCCACACTGGAGATGGAGCCTGCAACCTGGGCATGTGCCCTGACTGGAATCGAACCAACCTCCTGGTTCATAGATCAATATGCTCAACCACTGAGACATGCTGGTCAGGTTGAGCTTTTTTTTTAAAGTTATATTTTTATTGATTTCAGAGAGTAAGGGAGGAGAGAGAGAGAGAAATATCAATGCTGAGAATCTTTGATCGGCTACCTTCTACATGCTCCACTCTGGGGATAGAGCCTGGGCCCTTGACTGGAATGGAACCCAGGACCCTTCAGTCAGCAGACTGCCGCTCTAGCCACTGAGCCTACTAGCTAAGGCTCATCTGGACTTTTGACAAATATTTTTCCACTTGTTTACATAATAGTTTGAGTCATTGTTGATTTTGAATTAATAACAAATATTCTCACTACCAGGCCTATTGAGTAAGAATCAATTTATTACACTGACAAATATTTACAAGAGATCTCCTATACACAATACAATCAGAAAGGCAAGAGTAACTTAAAGATACTGATGTCAAAGAAGTTAACTGTAGAACAGTAGACAGTAATGTTGACTTTCACTACTCTTATTCAACACTAGTGACCAGGTGCACAAAATTTGTGCACATTTAAAGGGGATTAATTAGAGGAAATATTTTAATATTGTTATTTGCCCTTTCTCTATAATAGAAGTGTCTGGCTGGCCCCACCCTTATTGGGCAACACCAAGACCCAGCCGGCCCCACCCTCATCAAGCCTCGCTGGGCGGAGGACACAGCCTCATGTCCTGGCACTAGGGGTGCAACCTCAGGTCCCCTGGCCCTGGCCCACGCTACACAGCCTCACCCAGACTGCAGGACCCATCAATGCACCTACTGGTGACCAGTCATTTGGTCGTTACAGATGAAAATAAAGTCATGCAGTTAAGCATGCACATTCATTATCAACGCCTTATTTGTCTACATTCTCTAAATTGCAAAATTAATAAGATCTTCAGCCAGATAACATCATAATGCCAAGTTCTTTATATAATGACACATACCATTCTCTACACTCAGTATGCTCCATTTGAATGGATTAAATGTAACTGACTCATGAAAGCACTACTGCTTGCTCTTAATAGAGGAAGCATTAGCTCATTTCCTAAGGCCATAAAGTGGTTTAAATGGCATATAATGACTTGAAGAATGGAAGGAAAAATAACAACAACAAAACACACAAAAAGTTACAACATTCAATGCTGTGGACAGCAGAATCTTCCCCTTTCCCTTTGTGTTTTCTACGTTTCCCATGAACCTTTTTGCACTCTGCCTCAAAATAAACATAGAAGACAAAATCAGATGCTGTAATCTGCATTTTATAGTGCCATTTGAGTACAAAAAGGCGTTTTTCAATTTTTAGCTTTTATTTTTTTAATCAATGCAGCTCAAATCTGCTCCCAACATTCCAGGAGCCAGGCCAACATGGCTGTGCGGACACACCTTTGCTAGGTGCTGTCAGGCTTCAGAGCTGGGGCCGGGAACATGCCAGGTGTTGCTGGAAATGAAGCAGCTCTCCTCTCTACATAGCAGGAGTCTTTTCATTATAAAATGCAAAGCAGCAGCTGTTTTCCATTACCCCTAGCCCCAGCCCTCCTTAGCTGGGGCGTAGGAAGGGGCTGGAAGGATATTTACTCTCGGCTCTTTGATTTCTCTTATTTAACTGAGCCCAGGGACAGCAGCTTCTCTGAGCACAACGCCAGCCGGCTCAGGGCTAGCTGCACCTGGAAGGCAAGTGGCAGAGCTGACGGGGCTTTGACCAAGCCCGAGCGTGTGGTTCACAAGCAACCTTGGCAGGTGGGCTGCTCCTGAAGACTCTAGGCCCCTCCCAGATCCGCACCCCAACTCCCTCCTCTCCTTTCACCCACAGGTGCCACCGCCATGGTCTGCCCCAAGGCTTGGTGTGCAGATGCCAGGGTTGCAAGTTCAAGACACTCCGTCTCATTCTGGCACTTTGAGCCATAAGCGCTGGCAGGGACCTGGAGAATATTATGCTAAGTGAAATAAGCCAGTCAGAGAAAGACAAATATCACATGATCTCACTCATATGTGGAATCTGATGAAAAAAATAGATCCAGAGACGTAGAAGCATAGAACAAAGTGCAGAATTTCGGAGGGAAGATGGGGAAGGGTGAGTGGGTAGGAAGACATCAAAGAATTTGTATGCATATATGCATAACCAATGGACACAGACAATAGGATGGTGAAGGCCTGGGGGGAAAGGGGAATGGAGCAGGCTAAAAGGGGTAAATGGGGGGAAAAAGGAATATATATAATACTTTCAACAATAAAGATTTAATTAAAAAAAAAAAAGAAGTTAACTGGATAATGGATGTGATAACCGATATATAACAGTAAACTATTTGTGGCAATAAACTATGTTACTATCACTTCCAGGAATGAAGAAGTAGTTTGTGTTAAACCAATGCGTCCATCAAGAACAAATTTAGCTGGGCTGGTGTGGCTCAGTGGTTGAGAGTTAAGTTATGATCCAGGAGGTCATGGTTTGATTCCCAGTCAGGATACATGCCTGGGTTGCAGACTTGATCCCCAGAGTGGAGTGTGCAAGAGGCAGCCAATTAATTGATATTTCCATCTCTCCCTCTTCCTTCTTCTCCAAAATAAATATAAATATAAATAAATATAAATAAATATAAATATAAATATAAATATAAATATAAATATAAACACACTATTCTACTTCTTTCAGAGCAAACTTTAAAAAAAGGACAGTTTTAAAATATAGGGAGAAAAAGTTTAAAATATATATATATATTTTTTTTTTTAATTAAATTATCTGTGTACTTATCTTACCATTGCCCCCCTCCCCCTCCCATACATACCCTCCCTCCCCAGAGTTTTGGGCCCAATAGCTTTAAAAATAGATATTTTTAAAGCTATTGGGCCCTAGTCAGTTTGGCTCAGTGGATAGAGTGTTGGCCACCTGCGGACCGAAGCATTCCAGGTTTGACTCCGGTCAATGGAACATACCTCGGTTGCAGGATCCACCCTGGCGCAGGCCCTGGTTGGGGGTGTGTGCAGGAGGCAACCAATAGATGTGCTTCTCTTACATTGATATTTCTGTCCTTCCCTCTCTCTTCTACTCTCTCTAAAAACTCAATGGCAAATATCTTTGGGTGAGGACTAAAAATAAAAGGCTATTAGAGAACTACTGAAGGAAAAGAACTAGAGAGACCAAGAATTAGAGAGCAGGGAAGCATAGTGAGGTGGCCTGATCAGTGCATCCACATTTCCAAGGAGGCATTTGTTGAATCTGGGCATAAGGCAAGAAGCTGAGAATCAAATCTGCCTAGGCTAATGGTCGGCAAACTGCAGCTTGCGGGCCAGATGTGGCTCTTTGGCCCCTTGAGTGTGGCTCTTCCACAAATACCATGTGTGGGCACACACATACAGTGCAAGTCGTGGCCCATACGCACAAGTCGGTCTTCGGCTCTCAAAAGAAATTTCAATTGTCGTACTGTTGATATTTGGCTCTAATGACTAATAAATTTGCCAATCACTGGCCTAGGCTAGTGATAGAAAACTGATAAACCATCAGAACTTTGGTGGTCTTATGAGGCTATAAACAAAATTCACATGCAAAAGAATGAAGTTGGATCCTTGTGCTTTACACCAAAATTAATTCTAAATGCATCAATGGCCTAAATATAAGAGCAAAAATCTATGAAACTTTGTTTCATGACCCTGGATTTGGCAATGGTTTTTTAGGACACCAAATGCACAAAAGAAAAATTAGATAAATTGGACTTCATCAAAATCAAATTCAAAATTAAAAGCTTTTGTGTATTAAAGGGCACTATCAAGAGAGTGAACAGACAAACCTCAACATGGAATAAAATATTTAAATATTTGTAAATCAGTTATCTGATAAGGGTCTAATTTCCAGAATACATGAAGAATTCCTATAGCTTGACCCAAAACAACCCAATTTAAAAAATATATATATTTTATTGATTTTTTTAACAGAGAAGAAGGGGGAGAGAGAGTTAGAAACATCAATAGGAGACAAACATCAATTAGCTGGCCCCTGCACACTCCCCACTGGAGATGTGCCCACAACCAAGGTACATGCCCCTGGCTGGAATCAAACCT